ATATTTAATGTATGTAGTACAGAGGTGATGTGTAGAGAATATTGAAAATATTTTGTCATGTGTTACAAAAAAGAAACATTTATCTTGCACGACGTTTACTGGAAAGACTTGTGAGCTTACAATGACAAGAGCTTCCAAGATGAGTAACATTCATGGTTTCATTACCTTCTCCATGAGCTGCTGAATTATTAAAAATGAATTAATTTCTGTTCTGGTTCATAATGTTCACACTATTTTTCTTTATCTAGCTTTCTGTTTAATCCATCTTTTCTTTCCTGACATAAAGTGTGCATCAAAGAAGTTCTGTTCAAATCTTTGTTTCCTTGAGCAATAAAACATCACTTTCATCTGTCAGATCAAAGATGCAGTGGAGTCTGTATCTGCTTATTCTGATGGGTAAGTGGATTGTTTCACCAAATATACAGTTTTTAATTAAAATTAAAATGAGATTATGACCTCACACGTTTTGTTGTTTTTACTTTTTTAAGTGAATTCAATAATCTCATAATCTCTATATCATATTTCTGTATTTCAGGTCAGTGTTGCCTCTTTAGATGCCGCCTGTATGAGTACCACTTTATTGCAGAAAACAAGAGCTGGTCTGAAGCACAGAGATACTGCAGAGAGAAATATACAGACCTGGCCAAAGTGTTTGACATGACAGACATGAACAGACTCCGTAACTCTGCACAGAATCAAGGAGAAGCCTGGATTGGACTGAACAACAACACAGGTGGAAACAGGACGTGGCATTGGTCTCTGCCAGGAGTGGAATACATTCAAAATGACAGCAGCTGGAATCTGAAAGGAAGAACTACTAGAGAACTGCCTGGAAACTGTGGGAGGAAAAGATACGATAATGGAGATAAAAAGCTGGTAGATGTTTCATGTGACCGTACTATGTGGTTCTTCTGCTACGATGGTGAGGAGATGTGAATAATATTAAATATTATTATAATATCATGATATAAAAATATAATGGAATATCATAATACTAAATTAAGACGATAGAGACAGACAGAATTTCACAAGAAAATTTATTGAGGGATGTCTCTGTGTGTTTTTCTGTTGGTTTCACAGAAATGAAGAAAGACAGTAAAACATTGTATTTGATAAAAACACCTATGAACTGGACACAGGCTCAGAGCTACTGCAGATACCATCACACTGACTTGGCCAGTGGACTGAATCAGGTAGATGGAGAAGAAATGAAGGCCCTGTTTAACGACTATACCTTCAGTGCATGGGTCGGTCTGTTCAGAGACAGCTGGAGGTGGTCAGATGGGAGTGATTTCTCTTTCAGATACTGGGATATGCAGTTATTCAATGATGAACAAAGCAACAAGACATGTGCTATGACTCTGTTAAACAGATCAGGAAAATGGAGCTCTGATGAATGTGACAAAGAAAAACCCTTCTTCTGTTAT